TACCTTGTCACTATCTGTTGGCTGTATCCTTGAACACACAGAGATCTACCTAACTCTGCCTACCAAGTACTGGGATTAAAGGTATGTACCACCACCGCCCAGCTTTTGCTATGGCTCTAATAGCTCTGACCCCTGGGCAACTTTATTTATTAACATACAATTAAAATCACATTTCAGTACAAATAAAATACCACCATACTCATAAGCCTCAGTGTCTTTACCCTGGCAGCAAGAGCCCAAGACTAATTTTACCTGCATCTAAATGAGCTGTGAGCTTCAAGGACTCAGTGGGAGACCACAAATGGCCTCTAATCAGAGATCACAGTGATTTCTGTCATTTTCTAATAGAAATATAGAACTGAGGTGATCTTAAGATTAACTATATAATCCAAATAAAAATAAAACAATTTCTGACCCAATTCCCACTGTGAAGGGCTGAGAAGAAGCAGATACTAAGATCCTGGAGGTATCTTGTTCTGAGAATGGTGAACAATTTGACACCTGTAGGAACCCAGGCTTAAAATGTGCCGGTGGCCATTCCAGGGTGCAATACTTGGCACCTGAATAGTGTGCAGAAGGCAGTGAGCATCTGGTTGTTTTGAAAATGTGCATCTTTCAGAAAGAGCTATGTGTTCATATAAATGTAAAAATACACTTTAGGGTATAATCTTCTGGGGGAAATGCTGTGACCTTCTCTGGTCCATTTTTGTTTTTTTTTTTTTTTTTTTTTGAGTGATACTTTTTTTATTTTTTAATTTTTTTTTAGGTTTTTCGAGACAGGGTTTCTCTGTGTAGCTTCTCGCCTTTCCTGGATCTTGCTCTGTAGACCAGGCTGGCCTCGAACTCACAGAGATCCACCTGCCTCTGCCTCCCGAGTGTTGGGATTAAAGGTGTGCACCACCACCGCCTGGCTGATACTATTTTTTTTTTTTTTTTTTTTTAATTTATTTTGCAATACAATTCAGTTCTACATATCAGTCACGGATTCCCTTGTTCTCCCCCCTCCCGTCCCCCTCACCTTCCCCCCAACGCCCCCCCCCCCCCCATTCCCATCTCCTCCAGGGCAAAGCCTTCCCCACAGACTGAGGTCAACCTGGTAGACTCAGTCCAGGTAGGTCTAGTCCCCTCCTCCCAGGCCGAGGCAAACAATCCTGCATAGGTCCCAGGTTTCAAACAGCCAACTCATGCAATGAGCACAAGATCTGGTCCCACTGCCTGGATGCCTCCCAAACAGATCAAGCCAATCAACTGTCTCACCCATTCGGAGGGCCTGATCCAGTGTGGACCCCTCAGCCATTGGTTCATAGTTCATGTGTTTCCATTCATTTGGCTATTTGTCCCTGTGCTTTATCCAACCTTGGTCTCAACAATTCTCGCTCATATAAACCCTCCTCATTTTCGTTAATTGGACTCCCAGAGATCCACCCAGGGCCTAGTCATGGATCTCTGCATCCAGATCCCTCAGTAGTTGGATGAGGTTTCTAGCACCACAATTAGGGTGTTTGGCCATCCCATCACCAGAGTAGGTCAGAGATTTTTCATAAAAACAAAATGAAAAAATTCCCCATTTCCTAAACTCTAGTCCAGAATACCTTCCAATTTTGAGTGGGTTTGGCTTTCTTTGTTTTTGTTTTTTTGTTTTTCGAGACAGGGTTTCTCCATGTAGTTTTGGTGCCTGTCCTGGATCTTGCTCTGTAGACCAGGCTGGCCTGGAACTCACAGAGATCCATCTGGCTCTGCCTCCCGAGTGCTGGGATTAAAGGCATGTGCCACCACCGCCCAGCTGGCTTTCTTTTTTTTTTAATAAAGAAAAATCTGTTAAATTTTGAGACTATGTCCCAAAAGATGATTTGGAGAGAAGGAATTTATCATTCTTTTTCCTGAGTGAATGTTCACAGAACTCTTAACTCTTATTGCTACAGACATTCCTACTAACAGAAGTTTGAGTAGAAACATGAGAATCAACCTCCATATAGACAATGCTGTCTGGTCCTCCATGGATACAATTTGTAGGGTAGAATGGGAGGACCACTCCGCTCCCATAACCTGAGAGAAAACTTAGTGTTCAGAGGGGTGCCATGTACAACACATAGTCTATATACATGATGGATATACACTGGGTGAGGAGGCTGTAATTTCAACAAGAGAAACACATACTATATTTGATATGCTAAAACTATTTCCTTCCTCTCAGATATCAGATAAACATGGGTGGATGGCAGTCAGGGGTCTGTGGCTGATTGCCAAAACCTTTGCTGCTTCAAGGTCTGAAGGATAGCTAGACCCCAGCAATGTTTCTCTGCTTCCCACAGGGCCCAGGTGTTTCCTTAGGCTTCTGTGCTCTTCAGTCTGATGGTTTATGTTCACCCTTTTCTACAAGCCTTGAGAAATAAGAGCACAGTCACACCTTTTCCTAACCACAGCCTGAATTTCTGAAAGGAAACTCAAGAATTCCATTAAACTTTTTTTAATAAGAAAATAGAAAAGTCCCAGATTTGAAGTTATAAACAATATGAAAGACAAGGAAACCAAAGCATGTGCTGTATTTGATTGATTAGGAAAAAATAGAATTTCACATTTAAATGACATATAATTCAATTACATAACAAACATGTAAGCATTTAATATAAAACTAAATAATTAAAATTCCCTCATCCCCCCATTAATTTCTCAACCCAAATGCCTGTCCCACCTGTGACAAAGGGAGAGTTACCAACATGCCTGTGGGAAGCCCCTTCCTTCTAAGAAAGAGTAAGTGGCGCAGCTTCCTACTCTCCTACCAGTTTCTTTGCAAAAATAAAATTTGGATTTCACGAATGCAAGCAGTAGACTGTGGTGTTGCATCACTGTCTGTTTGAGACAGGCTGGGATGGGATGGTTTCAGAGGACCCTGAGTTCCCACCACCACTGTGCCCGGTCAGATCTGTACCCCACTGTCAGATTCAACAGTCTGACCCATCTGTGAAACTAGTGATGTCTTTATTGGTATCACAACTATAGGCTCATTATAAAACCACACAAAGTTGCAACATTGTGCAGGAAATATTTGTTTCTTAAGAAAATAATTTAATTGCTTGTAGCACTCTCCAGACTCATTTTAGCTGTTGCACGTGTATCTTCTTGTCATACTCTGGCTGTCCATGAACACAGGGTCCAAGGAAGCCACCTTGGCAGCAATGAAAGAGTGGATACAATGGAGGACTGCCGTCAAGTCCTGGAACTCCAGCTCCTGAGGGGAAATGAAACAGGACTGTGGTCACTAGGAAGATGCACTGTGGCAACTTTTCGCAAACTCAGCTCTTTGTATACTCCAAGACTTTTCCTCAAATAAATACAAATACACATTGAAACCGGTAGCGTTAAAATAAAGGCAGCATGGCACAATGAACATATATCTATAAAGATGGATATACTGTCGTTTGTATTGATACTCTGGCAATGCAGGATATGTTTCCTTGATTCCATACAGGGTAACATGCAATCCTTTTATGTGGCATTCTTCCTTAGTTTGTGCTCAGTCTTAGGTAGACCTGAAGATCACAGTTATGATTTATGCCTTCACCATAAGCTGGAAATGCCAGGGCTAACAGTGACATTTAGATGAGGGTCCCATGGCAGTGGAGCTAGCTGTTTGCTTACCCTGGTTCCAAGTGTACACTCTCCCATGTGTGGCTTGTAAAGGGCATTTTTGGAAGGACAACCAGAACCCTTCTGTGTGAGCAGCACACATAGGGGGAGACCTTGGTTCCTCCTCATCCAGTTGTCATGCCAACAAAAGAAAGAAATGATGCTCCAGAACAGGATTCTTTAGGAGATTGTGGGCTTCACCACCACAGAGCATATGAAAAATACCTTAAATTCCTGGGTCCTTACTTCTCCACCTTGACGCTCTCAAACACTCATGGAGATCAGAGGAAAGGTTTACAGAGCCAACTCTCTTCTACCATGGTTTCTGGGATCAAATGCAAGTCTCCAGCCTCAGCGCCATCCTGCTAGTCTCTGGGATTATTCCTTTCCTTACATACTTCTCCACATGAAGTCCCCAGCCCAAACCAGCAATGAGCTTTGTAGGCTAAACAGAAGTTTAACAGTCTTCAAATGTCATGCTGTTATTGGGAAAATCAATCTTCATGTCTTGGGATACAAATCCATCCAACAGTCAGAAGAGATGTTCTGAGTGCGTCATTGGTGTTTTTATTTTTTTTTTCCTCCTCTGTGTTGTTCCAATGTGGTAAAGAACATCACAATTCCCTTAAGGTGACTTAATTATTGACATTCTATTTATTCAATTTCAGCAAAATTCTATGATATTACAAACTGCCTAGACAATACCACAGAAAAAGCTTCATCATTTTCAGGAGGACAGCCCACTAAGGCTTGTCAGTTCCCCAGTTGTGCTCCTTGAAGCCTGGCTAGGCAGGACCTCTGGGATGGGAAGTCAGTCTCCCTCCGTAAGGGAGGGATGGAGCTATCCACAGGTGCTGAAGCTCCCCCCCCCCACATGAACCCCTGATAGTTTTACTAAGGCATTTCTCTTCTTAAAAGCAAGGATTCCATATTTCAAAACCAGCCTCTACCTTCCTTTACAAAAGACTCCACCCAAATGCCTCTCTTGTGATCTTGTCCATTCCTTTCAGAAACTGCTCCTGTCCTGGCGCTCAGGACCTTGAACCAACCAGAGTACCATGGGAGGGTGACTGAGAAAGGGGACTGGAGATTTCACTTTGGAATGACTAAGAATTTGTGCTGCTGGTACATGGAGAAAACGAGCCAGCTGGAAAATGAGTCCCATGGAGTCATACCTGGCCAGAGACAGAAAAGACACGGGGATGGGGTCCCTTGTACTTGGAAGCTGTCCTCCACCTCCTTATGCTTGTGACTAAAGGGCTCTCTTTTCATTCTGCCAATGTAAGATTCTCCTTTGCATGCAGGTGAAGCTTAACTTTGATTTTACCTGCATGATTTCTTTCTTTTTTTTTTTTTTTGTCTGAGTAATGAACAAGATACTCTAGATGCTTTGGGTTCTCTTTATATTGCTAAAGGGGTTTCATAGTGAAGCTCTGTACTTGCTACACAGGTGGCCCCATCCTAGCTGTTTGTAGGATCCATGAGTTACCTAGCTCCTTATCCCAGTGTCAACCCATCCACTTGTTTTCGGCATACCATGAGGTGGTAGTCAGGATTTTTTTTATTAGGTATGATTTTTCTCCAGAAGAGAAGAAGACCAAGTAATATTCTAGAACAAACATAAGATTCCTGCAAGCTTAACAAAACTCTACTTCAATCTGTGCATGCTCTTGGTAGTAATCTCCTTCTCAAGGGGACGAGTAGAAGAATAAAGCCACAAAGTCCACATCATGTGCATTTCAGCAGCTGTGCTTTATGTATGGGAACTGAAAATTACTTTACAAATTCCTACAATTTACTCAATAACAGCATGACACACTGGAAGAAGAAGCAGCCAGATGGCCACATGACATTGAGGCACAGATCCCAAAGCAGACTTGGTATTTCCTGGCATGGTAAATTGAAGCCACATCAAAAATTTTTGAAAAGACTATCACAAGAGAGTTGCTCCATGCAAAATCTCAGCCAAGAGCATTCCCATCCAGGAATCAAGTGTAAGTCTCTGGAGCAGGAGTCAGTCTTGGTCCAAATATAGCATCTGAACATTTCACAGAACATCTTTGGTTCAACCAAGGGCCAAGTCATGACACCTGCTGCTCTGCCTAGATCCCAAGCAGACTCTGTCAGCAGGGCCACTCTGAATTGCAGCTATGCAGGTGTTGTTGACCAAAGCCATGTTTGGTCTCTCTTGAACAGGACATTCATGGTGATCCCAGTGCCTTTCTGTGACTGCCACTCCCTGCTGACCCCTCAAACATGTGTCACAGGTGGTGGTGTGTTGCCACCTTCTACTTGCTGAGAAAGAGAATCTATAATTGACTAGAAAGACATACAGCAGGGACAGAGCAACCTCCTCCAAATTCGTCTGACAGGCCTGAGGTTTATTTAATAAAGATAATTCTTTTCAAAACTAGTTTTAGGAAAAGCAGGAAAAGCCAGATAGTGTTTGTAACTGTAGACTGTTGCTGCCCCTTCACCACATCAGCTAGGCTGTCTTCTCCAGGAGTGTCATATGTACTTTTCAAACATATTTGACATTTTAAGAAAGTGGGCTTCCAGATGAGCACTACCCACCAGTGCAATGGAGCCATGAGAAGCCCAGGTTAGGATAAAAACTTTCTGATTCTTGGTGGGATGTGATGTATTATACTGTTAGAAAAGGTACTTCTATGCTTAATCATAGCTTATTGTCAGTATTTTTCAGTCTCTGAGGTGAAGTGCACCAATCTGGAAAGAAGTCCTGAAGACCTGTGCCTGTTTACCTGTGCCAGCCCAGTCTGGAGCTGAGTTGATGGTTCATATCCCTGACACATAGATATCACCTTGCAATTCAGACTCTGGCTCCTCCATTTACTGGCCCTGCAGTCAGGCAGTGGGACATTGTCAACTGCTCCCAATATTCCTGACATTTGTTACTTGCTCTGCTGTCAATTGTTCTGCCATGATTGTCTTTAAATTATAGAAAATTTTCTGAAAATTTACTCCATGAATCTGGTGTGGTTCTGATCAAATACAGTGCATGGCTGAGCTGGGCAGCCTGGAGACTGTGTACCTTGGAGGTAGTTTCCCGGTCAGTGAAACTGATACCACACCATCCTTAGCATCCCAGTGTGACTGAGGTGGCTGAGAACAGGGGACAGTTACTGGAGTCCATCAATGTGAGATGGATATTATTTATTTATCAACATAATTAATAACATTTCCTCAGCCTCAAAACTACCACATAAACTAAGACAAAAGTCAGAGGCTACCACTTTCAGTTTCCAAAAGAGGAAATGGACTTTCAAAGCAATCTTCCAAAGTGACAAGGCCAATTAGTTGCAGAAATGTTACTTGAAGTCAGGAATCCAAGAAGCTTCACAGGGCTTCCCCGATCCCCCTGTTAGAGTTTTAGGAACTTGGTACTACAGTGTCACCATGTTGCAAGCTATCTGAGAATGAGAGTTACCCTGAGAAACCCTGAATCACCAGGATTCCTGAGATTCTCTCAAGTGCAGAATCTCAGCTTTACCCAACCTCCTTCCTCTCTGGCTGTCTTTGTCCTGGGCATACCTTGAGGACTGGGTAGTGCTGTTGAAGTGACACTCACAAGCCAGATGCCGTCATCTAGGAGGAACAGGGAACAGGGCCAGTGACTCATAGTAAAGAGGCCAAGGAATAGAGGAGGTGATTTTGATGGTACCTTCCCATGTGTATCAATCAATTGAACAAACAATTCTGAATTTGGCAGGGGTAGGGATGGAGGCATTACAGAAAAGGGCAGGAACCAAGGACCAAAAGCAAAAAGCAGGTGGTAGCTATGGGTCTGTGTATGGGTACTGTCATGGAGAAAACATGCTGGGTAGGTTCTGGGAGATCTCTAAGCTCATAGCACAGAGGACAGCCCTTTAGGAAGTACAGGGAGCTATGGGTGGAGGGTGTATAGGAGAGAGACAGAATCATGTCTGTGGGGCAAGGACACTTGTCCAGTATGAGACAGAAGGGAAGGCCTAGGGATAGGAATTCTCATCAGAAGAGGACAAGAGTCCATGAGAAAAGAGGGCATGAGTTAGACTAGAAAGGAAGCCAATGCCAGTTTTGAGAGAGGGCAGATATATGCAGGATTGGTGTTCTTTGGTACAACCCAGATGAGAGACTCCCCAAAAGCACCAGAGAGAGGTATGCTCTCCAGGAATGGTGAAGCAACCAGTGGAAGAGAGAGACAGACAGACAGAGAGAGAGAGAGAGAGACAGAGACAGAGACAGAGAGAGACACAGAGAGAGACAGAGACACAGACAAAGACAGAGAGAGGTGTGCTCTCCAGGAATGGTGAAGCAACCAGTGGAAGAGAGAGACAGAGAGAGAGAGACAGAGACAGAGAGAGACAGAGAGACACAGACAAAGACAGAGAGACAGACAGAGACAGAGAGATAGAGACAGTGGAGGAGAAGGGAGGGAGGGAGGGGAGGATGTGTGCAGGAGAAGGGGAGATCAACTCAATACACTGATCCAACTCAAGGAGCTGGAGGGACTAGTGGAGTGTAAGAATATACTGCTCTCCTCAAAGGAGGCTCCTCTTCTAATTTTATTTGGAATTTAATTGCATCAGCTGGAGTAGACTGTGGTTTTACTGTCTGGGTCTTAGCTACATGTGGTTCACTGTAACATAAAGACTGGAAATTTTCAGAAGTCAACAATTTGTAGGTTTTTAAGTTGCCCACTAATCTATGCAGCTTGATGGAATCATACACTGTCTCCTCCATCTTACCCAGGATGTGAGACATCCTTCTGTCCACTGTCTACACACTGCCTACACTGCCTGCTGCTAGTCATTTAGAAGCCATCTGTTATTAGATCAACTGTCTTGGCACCACCATGACCATTATTTTACTTAATGGTGACTCTAAAGTAGAAGACTAGTGATATTGGCAATTCAAATGTGACAATTAGAAACCATAAAGTACTTCCCTTAAACAAAAAAATTTGTTTATCATAAACTTGTATAGGAGTACTTGTATGGCGTATGCTGGAGAAAACACAGATGCACAGATTTCAGTACTAAATTAGTAACTTTTTAGTCATTGTGGCAAGGTCTCTGATAGAGGGAACTCCAGGGAGGAATTTTACTTTGGTTCAAGATTTCAGGAGATTGCAGTTCATCATGGTAGGCGGGGGCTGCTCATGGTGGCGGGAGTGTGTGGAGCTGTGGTGGCTCCTTACATCTTGAAAGATCAGGAAACAGAGATCTCAGCCAGAACCAGAAGCAGATAGATAACCTTTAAGTTCTACCCCAAACAACTCAAGTCTGCTAGCTAGACCTCAGTACTAAAGTTTCTACATCCAGGTGGGGACCAAGAATTCAAACACATGCAGGGAACATTTCAGACTCAACTCGAAATAGGTACTATTTGGGGCTTTTGGTAGCCACTGGGTGGGGGATGTTTAAAAACGCTGCCCCTGGAAATGGAGACCCTGTCATCTCTTCTGCCAAGCTCCTGTTTGTCCCTGTTGGTATTCTATTGCTGTGAAGGGACATCACGGCCATGGGAGATCTTATAAAAGAAGGTATTTAATTAGAGGCTTTCTTACAGTTTCAAAGGCTTAGTCCATTATCATCATGGCAGGGAGCATGGCAGCATGCACAGTACTGGAGAAGTACCTGAGAACTTTACATCCTAATCTACAGGCAGAAAGAGACTAGGCCTGGCATGGGTTTTTGAAACCTCAAAACCCCAGTGACAGACTTCCTCCAACAAAGCCACACCTACTCCAACAAGGCCATACCACTTAATCCTTCTAATCCTTTCAAGTAGTTCAATCCTTGGTGACTAAGCATTCAATTATATGGGCATAGGTGTCATACTTATTCAATCTACCACAGTGTTCATTTGTCAGGATTTGAAGGTATATATGCTTTTCAAAACAAACAAACAAACAAAAACATTTGCTGTCACCTTCAGAGTTGGTTCTGTAATCTGTCTCCAGGCTGTGGTGTGTGTTAGGTGGTGAAATCTTCTAGACTTTTTCTGGTTCACATCCTTTTTTAAAAGAAGGATTTATTTTTATTTTTAATTATGTGTATGGTTGTATGTTTATGCTGGGGTATATACATGTGACTACAGATACTTGTGGAGGTCTAAACAGGGAATCAGATCCCCTAGAGTTAAGTTATAAACACTACAAATTTCAGGGCAAGGGTCCTATAAATTGAACTTGGGTCTTCTACAAGAGCAGTATGTGCTTTTAACCACCAAGCGATCTCTCCAGCACCTCTGTGCAGTGGGATGTCTTTGTGTATACTGTGAATATATGTTGTTCCCATTGGTTAATAAATAAGCTGCTTTGGCCTATGGCAAGAGATACAGGAAAGAGAAAGGTGGGATGAGAGAGATGCCAGCCTGCCGCCCAAGGAGCAACAAGATGCCAGCAGACCAGTAACACCATGGCCACGTGGCAACATATAGATGAATAGAAATGGGTTAATTTAAGATGAAAGAGCTAGCTAGTAAGAAGCCTGAGCCATAGGCCATACAGATTGTAATTCATATAAGGCTCTTTGTGTTTACTTGGGACTGAGCAGCTGCAGGACTGTGTGAGACACAGGAAAACTTTTGCCTACACCTCTGGTTCACATTCTTATTCTTCCTCTTTCAGTAAATAACAGAATTACAAATTAATGCATTTTATTGACTTTGGCAGGATGTTAAGAAAAAAATGACTTCTGCAAATGACCCTGACTCTGTCACTTTTGCTGTTTCCACATATTTTAAGACGAACAACTTTTGGCAAAGCTGTTTTAATTAATTCAGTTTTTTCAATTTGCCATGGCTCCAGAGTAACTCATGCACACACTGACAGCAAGAAAGCTTGGGATGAAGAGTGCCTATGGTTTCACTTTTTTTTCCTGTGCTGGTAAATATTTTATTTAGAAATTTCCAAGTTCTGACGAAGATAAATAACTCCTGCACATTTTATTCAACCAAGGTCAATATCTTGAAGGACAGTATAAAATTTCTCTCATTTTTAATTTAATGCCAGAGGGTAAAATATTGATAGTGATGCACTGGAAAGAGATCTTCAGCTATTCTGGTGTACAAATAATTTACAAATGCACAAAACTGACTGGCACTGACTCACATCAGTATATACTTTGCCACTTGGCTAATCATTAGTCTCTGCAAGGCTGCCAGTATAGCCTCCTGTCTTTCCTTCCTGTTCTAGTGAGGACAGCAAGATGATAACCTCCATCTCCCTCTTCTGGGGGCATACCAACACTTGTGCTTCTGTTTCCCTTTTTAAAAGCACAGTGCTCAGATCGACTTTTCATTCTATCATTAACACGAATGATGTTTCTTTGAACCTAAATCTTCAGCCTTTACTCATCTCCAGGGCCAGTGAATAATGAGAGCACACTGGCATTCCACAACATAGATGGAAATTAGGTCCAGCTGTCCCTGCTTGTAAAATCTGTTATTTAATGAACTATAATTAGAAGAAAAATGGTTAATAAAATGGACAGGGAGTAGAAGGTATAATCTAGGCAGTTTCCTTGGATACAGAGAAATCGAGTCTACGGCACACATGTGCAGGTGCAGCTAGGCCAGCCACGCTTCAGGGTGTCCAACACACATGTGTTGTTTGGCTGTGGGGACAGAGTACTCTTTGTATGTGGAGATAAATCCTTTAATAAAGCTCCCAGGAACTCAATTAGCTTTCTAGATAGCACCTCTTTCCAGGTAGAGCCTCATCTCTGTGATGTTTCAGCCTACATTCACTTTCAGGGGCGTGGGGGTTCTCTGCCTTTCCCAAAAACCTAACGGGTACCCAGAGAGTGGTATCTGTACTCTAGAAGGGACCCTGGGGCATAAGAATGTGACTAAGGAACCACTCAGGGCTTTCTGATCATCTAACTGGGTAGCTTTTCCTTGTCACTAATAAAATCTTTAAATTTTAATTAAAAATTAAATTTTAAACAGACACGTATGATTTATTATTACCTCCAAAACTCTCATAGCTCATTCTTTTAAAAGAATCATTTCCAAAGGTTGGGGTGAGCTAACCCTGAAGCACACTGCATGTGTGTTGTACTGAGTTTAACTGATAGTGATGGTTAAGAGCACATTCCATGCCTGCCCACAGGTATAGACTTCTGCCCTGGAAAATGATGTCCATATCAAGAATTGGGCATGTGCATGTTTTCATGCACACTGGCCCTTGGTTCCAGGCCTCATTTTCAGCAGGATGTCAACTAGCTCTGAGTGTCATGGTTCCTGTTTTCCTAGACCAAAAGAAGCCTTGTAGCCTCCAATTGGCCATCATCAGTTTGTCTCTTGGTCACCCTTACCTATCAGGCATGGTGATGAGAATGCTACCTGGACACGCACTGCTGAGTATGGAAGACAAGCAGAAGAAAACAGTCCTCTCAGGGGAGATTCCATGCTTAGTGATAGAAGAAGGTTCTGGAGATGGTGGGGCCATATGGGTGGGGCCATATGGGTGGGGCCCACATGATGAGAGTTTTGTTCTTGTTTAAAAACTCCTTCCACTAAGTGAGGACACAGAGAAGGTGGTATTTGTGAACAAGAAAGCCTCAGACACCAGAAGCAAGATATGGCTGGACCTAGGACTTGAAGCTCCCAGGACTATGAATCGACCTGTTCTCAAACTCAGCTCCATGCTGGCGTCCACCTGGTGTCCTCTGGTGCCTCACTCTGGAATAGCATCTCAGGGCCCTCTCTCCAGTGTCTAATTATGCTGATTTTTTTCCACTTCGGGCCCTTTTTCTTCCTTTCTGCATTCATAGATTGTTTCAGGGAACAGGCCCATAACTGCTTGCCTCACTGCAGGGCCAACTCGTTCAGTTAGCTTAGGATCTGAGCTGCCAGAGTGCCTTAGAAATCTCAGCCCAGTGATATCCCAGATGGGGTAAACTTATTGTCAAGTCACCATTTCCAGTGTTTTCCTGATGGAAGAGGAGTTGTACACTTGCTTAGAGATTACATTGTGTGGGAGCTCGTTTTCAGGTTCCTTGTGGCTTTACTCAGCAGGTCCACATAGAGAGAATGACTAGGACCATGGGCCTGAGTGCAGGTCTCTCAGATGGTCTGCACTTGACTGTGCTGGGGGGAGATCTTTTGCTCCACCCCTTGGCGTCTCTATAAATACCCTGGGGCAGGGACAGTCGGGGCTCATTGGAAAAGGTTCCAGGCCCTCTCAAGGCTATCCTTTACTTTCTATCTGTTTATCTCCGCAATATAAATCCTTCTATCTAATATTTCCTGCTGCTCACACTCAAGAAAACTCTGGGGAGCTGTGGGGTTGGTAGGTAAACACCCCACAACATTGAGCTATGTGTTTCTGTTAATACTGTAATTCTAATTCCATGAACAGATAGGACACAGTAACTTTAATTCCATGACAGACAGGCACACTCAAAACCAAACAAAGGTAAAGTAAGCCACCTGCTATTGTGGGTTGGTTAAGTTGTGTGAACAAGCTTGTGTGGAAGCAGACTCTCAAATGACTCTGAGGAACATTTGGGACTGGGCACTGCACCTGAGAGGCATTGAATCTCAGAGTTTCTACTCTGAGACCTCTACAGAGGTCTCTACTCTTCCTGATGCAGACAGAATTCATCTCTCCCTGATTCCTGCTCAGTGTTACAATCTGTGTAATGATTAGGTTGGGTTAGGTTGTCCATTCTTCTTTGCTCCTTCTGATTTTCTGAAGTAGTTTTTCAGTGTAACTAACTCAGCAGCATCAGCAAAGCATGCCTGGCATTGGACTCTGTGGGGAGACTGAACAGCAGTTTGCTGCCTGCTGCTCTTAGCTCACAGTTATCCACACTCAGTCCTTCTCTCAGCATCTGATAGGCTTCTCTGGCTTCCTGATGATACACAGATTGCTCTTGGAGGGTGAAAATTATGCGCTATTGTTTCTCTCAAAGACAAAATTATTCTTCATTAGACTGTGTTTTGTTACATGGATACAGACGGGAATATTAGGAGTAAGATGAGTGCATCACCTGCAGTGGTGAAAGTGTTTCCTTTTAATCATGGGAAGTATTTTCTCCTGAGAAACTTGAAAAACTCTGAGTATATTTTGGTAATACCTCCCTTTCTCTTCCCCTCTTCCTTTTCTCTCCTTCTCCCCCACTCTCTCTCTTCCTTGAGCCAGGGTCTCATGTATTCCAGGGTGCCCTTGAATTTGTTATGTAACCAAGGAGGACTTTCAACCTGTTATCCTCCTATCTCCAACTCCAAATTGCTGAGACTGCAGGTGTGTGCCACCACACCCAACATTCGATAGCATTTCCTGCACTCAGTTTCTTTTTCAGTGTTAACATATTAATTTAAAACACATTAGTAAACTACGTTCAGTGGACCTCATGCTGTAGAAATAACCTATCTAAACCTGCCCTGAGAAACTCAAACTCAGACACAAGGCTGGGGGCGGGGACATCACAGCGGGAGGTAGGGGTGGGGTTGGGGACTGTTCTTCCACCGCTGTCCCATACTGTGTCTCCTCATAATCTCACTGTACGTCACGCGTCTCATCAGTCTTTCACTGACGAAGATTTCAGAAGTGGGGGAGATGCTCTGTTGGTAAAGTGTTTGCCACACAAGCATGAAGACCCGAATTAAGATACTCAGCAACCGCACAAAGCTACCTAGCACTGGGAGAGCAGAGACAGGTGGATTCTCAGAGCTTACTGCCTGCCAGCCTAGCTGGCTTAGTGAGCTCCAGTCTAGAGAAAGTCCTTGTCCCAAAAAATAAGGCAGAGAGAGACAACTGAGCCAGATATCAAACATCAACCTCTGGCCTCTACACACAGTACACAGACATATATGTACACCTGCATGCACGTGTGCACACACCCGCGTGAACACATGCATACATGAACCACACATGAGAGAGAGAGAGAGAGAGAGAGAGAGAGAGAGAGAGAGAGAGAGAGAGATTGAGGCTTTATTCTAACTCCAAGAACACCTAGAGGTCTAACTCTTTCCCCGTTTCACATAAGCTACAGCAGATGTAGCTGGGACCATTATTTCTGAGATGAGCAGGGTTATGTGAGGAACCATCCATGTTTCTTTCCCTTGTCATAGTAAGCTCTGGGCTGCACCTGCAGAAGCCTCCAAAGCCCAGGTGGTACCCTTGGTTCTTGCTTCACTTCAGTTAAAGCCTCAGCCTTTTTCTGCCTATTCCCTGCTTGTGTCCCAAGAGAAGCCCAGGTAGTCTGAGCTCTATGAAGCCTCAGGGTTGGGCTGCAAGTACGTATGTTTGAATTTGTTGAGATATATTCACACACCTTCCAAACATTGCTATGTATGTATGTATGTATGTATGTATGTATGTACGATTTCTCATTCTTTTCCTAAAAATATCCTCACAGAGTGTTTAATTTTCAGCATTATTCATCCAGTATTCATCTCTATGGCCTCTGTAAATTTTAGATCTTTTTCTTTTCTAACAACTAGGATGGAAACCCACATAATCCAAACTAAGGGTCACAAAGAGGTTAACATTCATTTCAAATCACTACACACCCATTCACACTCATCTCATACTGATGCATTCACTCCTTTATCAACACAGCCGACCTACAGTTGACTGACTGATGGCTGAAAGATAAGAAATTATACCTTTAAATCCCACAGTACCACTTGCTGAGGGGCATCTCAGATGCCAGGCAAGCATGTGCTGCTCTTTCAGCTGGTGTTCTAGGCAACAACAGTGTCTCAAGCATACTCTGGACCTAAGTCCTCAGGGCACTGTGACTCCTAGGCTGAAGATGTGACAGTGACAGGACCCTGCCATGGGTGCCCCATCAATGAACAGACCAGGGGGAAGAAGAAATCTTGACATGAAAGTGATACAAGTCACTCTCTGCTCGACTCTCCCCACTCAGTAATTTCCACTCAGACCACAGGACTGAACTCACAGTAGAGTGCCAGGATGCAACCTCTCCAGCCAGCCTAGTGTGCCAAGAGTCTCATCTCCCCACTTCCAGCTCACCACAGAAGCCCACAGCCTATCCCAACCCGGGGCTTTACAGCTGGCCCATTTCCAGAGCTTCACACCCTTCCTCCAGCTCAAGGCTCCGCAGCTTTTCCCCCAAACTCAAGGTTCCACAGTACATTCCCTGAAGCTTATCACCACAAACCTCCATAGTTTGCCCTCACCTCAGGACTTCACAGCTCGCCTGCCCACACTCAGGAACCCAGAGCCTGAATGTCCCATCTCAGAAACCCATAGCTTCCTACTATCCTTCAGGGCTGTAATCTTGAACTGTCCACAGCCTGCCCAGTATGTGCATATCCCACTGACCTTGGCCAATTCTCCACATAGAAGAGCCAAGCAATTCTGCACAATCTCTCTTCTACTTAGAAAGCAGTTCTGAAACACTCTTTTGTGGAGTGAGACAAGGAAAAGATAAAAATAGACCCTAAACCTTCACATATAACAATATCAGGTGGGTTGTGTTGCTCAGGTTAATTTCCTAAGAAAGAAATGCAAGGGAAGAGGTGACATTCTAAACAGTGTGTGTGTGTTCCACACACAAGTCTTTCAATGTGCTAAATTTATATTTTCATTTGACTGTAGTCTGTATTAAAGCTAGTTTGTTGATGATATATTTATGTAAAAACATGAAGGAAGTCTACCTATTAATTACAAGAAGATACCTCAGTGTGGTGCTTTTGAAAGGCACAGGGGACTTTTCTTACATTCACTACTATAGACATTCCATCAGACAATGCAGTTTGCAAAACTCTTCTATTAGATTTCGGCTTCTACAGCATTTTAAAGTATTGATTTCCTGCTACTATTTACTAAGCAGTGTGTGGATTTTGATAGAATTAAGTACTTTGTTTCATCTGTCACAATTTCAGGACACAAACTCTCCGCGAAAAATCATCAGCCCTGGGTTTGTTAAGTTGATTTCCAGCTTTGGGATGAACTTGTCTCCTTCTCATGCTATGTTTTTACCAGCTGACCCCTCTCCTTATATGTCTGTGGGTGCAGGATATGCAAGCTTTACCTTCGTTTCGATCTGTTTGGTATCCGGATTCTGAAACAGCAGCTTTACTTTAGTTTTCCCATCATCTGAAGATCCCTTAAGCTGGGAGAACTTGAATCTCCAGAGCACGTTCTGCAGAGAAATGAAATAAATGAGTGATTCATAAGCATTTACTTTATCATCATTTAATTAATATCTAATAAATCAAAGCACCTATCAGGGTAAATGCCATTTGTTATGACATGTCCACCCTCAATGTGTAGAGGCTGATCCCCATGCCCAGCCAGCTCAGGGTCACACACTGGCCTCTCTAGTCTTCACCCTGCTTTTATCCTCCTGGTCTTCCTGTACTTACCCTGGAAGTTTTCTAAGACCGTTGCTTCCTTCTTCGCTTGCAGAACTATAAAGTCTACTGAAGGCAGGCCTCTTATCCAGTAGGATACCTGCCACAGTGCAGTTAACATAGAAAGCTTGGATCCTGGCTATATCATCCCACCATGGCTACACACTGTCATTCAGCCTCAGGTTCCCGAGAACCAACAGGACAACATGAGCAGCATGGCCTTACACTACTGCTTCAAGTTTGCTTAGCACTTGCTGAGATGCTTCAGAGGCAAAATGTCATCTCAGCTCTCAGAAGGCTGACACAGGAGGATAACCACAAGTCTGAAGGTAGACTGGTTCACATAACCAGCAAGGGCTCCACAGGGAGAACCTGCCTCACAAAACATGAAAACACAATCCTTATCTTCCTAGTAAAATACCAATGGGAATTAGCATTTAGCATCCTGCAGGTCAGGATTTTATTGCAAACACTGATTTCTAAGTAATGAATAAAGAAACATTGATTTCTAAATGACCAACAAAGCATTTTCATTGTCAGCTGGACAAGGAGGAGGGGGATGGAAAGTCTCAAGATGCTTTTGTCCCTCCAGATGGCAAGCTGTGTGCCACACTGTCCACGCTAGCCTCACGATTCCATTCCTCATGATATGTTTCATACTGAATTGAGGACATGGATCAATGGAAAAGTCTCGAAAGCCCATGCTCCTTCTATATTTCAAGGCAGCTGGAATCCACAGTATCCTGGGAACCACTCATTCCATCCTTGCCTTTTCTTGGTGCTGAGGCTGAGAGTTCTGGTAGATCCAGGTACATAGGTGTTTTCAGAGAAAAATTACCAGAGTCTGTTCAGATTGAGAACTTGAGAAATCTCACCCCAGTCACTGCACAAGACTGTCAATTTTATCATGCAGCCCTTGTTCATGGGTGATGTAAGACAATGGTGCTTTTCTGCTTCTCCTGGTTTGGAATGTGAATACATGGTGAATCGGGTAGTAAATAGGCCTATTCTCCTTTTTTCTTTTTTGACTCATGTCCTAAGCATGGCAATGCCTTAAGCACCCTTGGATGGTTGACACTTACATAGCTAGTTGTCTTTAATGACTAAGAATCATTTGTTTCAAATTTCTCATGCTTTCTCTCACGAACTTAAAATGTAATTTTTTTTCAAAGAAAACTATTTCTGAAAGCTGTGAGTGTTATTTCTGCCTGTGGTCTAAGTGAGCTACTTCATTTCTATACTCTGAGCCCTTCTCAATATGTGACTGAACCTCCGTACACAGGTCTGGGTATGCAAGCTGGGAACTCAGAGCCCAGATTGGCTGCTTGGAGAGCATGGCAATAACAGTGCTCTCTTTAGTTAAAAACATCAGGAGATGAATATGAAAGGGCATTGGGTTTCCCACTGGAGTAATAAAGGCTGAAGGGCATCTCAACACTCAACTCTGAATCACGGAGCTGGAAGGCATCTTTGTGTGGTTTTAGCAACTGAAGCACAGGTCTCCAGTTACATGGCATACATATATTAAACACAAGACCTTCCCTTTTTGTTTTCATCATTGACAGTTTTGCTGACAGCCACTTCTCACCCTTCAAAACTACTTCGGGTTTTAAGGCATTGCAGGTGGAAAGTGACACCAATACTCTCTTTAGGGTGCCTGATGGCATCCACAGGGGCCATGATACTGGAATGGTGATGTTTTGTTTCTAGCAGAGTGACCTCCATATCTTCCCTTCTACCAGACAGTGTCCTTTTTCTTTTGAATTTGGTCTCTCTGTGCCTCTACTTCCTCCAGTCTTAACTCAACCTCCAGCCTGGGGATCAGGCTTCATCGGCACCAGCACAGCATTGAGCAAACAGGAGATCTGCACTGAGCAAACTGGAGTATTGCTGCTGTGATCGAGGAACATCCCTGAGGCAAGAAAAACAGAATTCCACCATTCCAGGAGTTCTCCAGTTAATGGCACCAGAAATATTTGCCTCCTCTGATCCTGAGTGGCAGAAAATTCCCAAGTGTGGCTTCTTTCAGAGAGGGAAAAGAGCCTGGGTGTTGCTGGAAATCTGAGTGACACAAACCCTGGAGTCCTAGGCTCTGTGTTGCTGCTGTAATCCCACTAGAGACAAGGCTGGGTGTTCAGACTGTTCACAATAGCTGGTGAAGGCAGCTCTCCTTATCGGCTTTGGGTATCTGGCTGATCTTTATTCCACACATGTGTGTCAGGAACTCAGTCTCTGCTTCACCTCTTCACTTCCAGCTCTTCTCCTGCTTCCATGTACCATGACAAGACCAGAATGTCAGTTAGTGTCAAGCCATAGAGCAAAAGAAAGCTGTGATGACCAGTGTCCTAACGCCAGCTAGCCCATAGATACATCAGGTCTAGGGCTATGGCCATATATCGAGAATGGTGTTTTGGATTATTCTCACTTTGATGATTTTGAAATGTCCTTCTAGAAATGAACAAATGTGTGCTAGACTATGGTCTTCTCACTTAGTATCCAGGTCCAAGCATGTTTCCTGCCCTTCCTAATTATTCCTTATGTTAATGAAATAGATAGCTAATACGAATGGATTGTTGCTTGGAGACACCTGTTTGTCTCTCTCTGGTAAAAGTAGGGATGACACAATTTAACAATTAGTGTATGAGAGATGACTGTGGATATCCACTAAAGCAGGAGCAGTTATCCAGAATTCTAGCACAGTGTGTGTGTGTGTGTGTGTGTGTGTGTGTGTGTGTGTGTGTGTGTGTGTAGGTACATGTGTCTATGCTGGTATATGCATGTGTGTACTTGTGCATGTGGAAGCCAGAGGATTAACCTCAGTTGTTCCTCAGGTGCATTCTACCTTATTTTTAGAGATAGGCCTGTCATTGGTCAATAAGCCCCTGGTATTTACCTGCCTTTTCATCCTCTGGCTTCCTTATGTGGGTTCTGGGGCTGGACCTCATGCTTTCAAGGCAAGCACTCTATTAACTGAGTCATCTCCTAAGTGCCAGTGAGTCTAAGTTTTACACACCAAAATCTCAACATGTCTAGCCCACAGATCTATTTGGTTTTCTCCACAATGACTTGGACAAAAGGCACAACTATCCATAAATATTTCATGCTTGGTTGTTATTTATATTTCAGAGTTTACAGCAATAATTTAAACCTCCTTACATGGAGTTTACAAATGCTGTACTTGTTTAGGGAATGAAGACTTGTAATTAAGGCCAAGAGGGGAGTGTTCCATGGACTCAGGACCTTGTTTACCTATCACAGCTGTGTTGGAGAAACTTTCTCAGTATAGAACTTACTGAAGAGGTCACCATGAAAATGATGCAAGGACAGGAAGTGAGAGCTCACCTTTAAAAAGGCATAGTCAGGAGGTTGTGGCCCAAGCTCAGCAAAGATCATCTTAACTGGATCTTCAGGAAAACTTGTCAGATAATGGATGAGGTAGTGATCCAGTGATTAGGTGTGAAGCTTACAGGGAGATGCTGGATGAGGCAGTGATCAGGTGTGAGGCTCACAGTAGTGGTGGAAAGCTGTCACCCAGAAGCAGAGAATCTGGGAGAACTGAATTTAGAAAAGGATCTGCTGGGTTTCCATGGGAAACCACAGGCCAACTCTATCATTACCCAGAGCTGCTGTGGGATATTCTCTATGCTGTGAATGTGTTGCTCTGATTGGTTAATAAATAAAGTGCTGATTGGCCAGTAGCCAGGCAGGAAGTATAGGTGGGACAAAGAGAATGGGGGATTCTGGGAACAGGAAGGTTGAGTCAGGAGATGCTGCCAGTCGCCACCACCATGAGTAGCAACATGTAAGATATCGTTAAGCCACGAGCCATGTGGCAAGGTATAGATTTATAGAAATGGGTTAATTTAAGATGTAAGAACTAGATAGCAAGAATCCTGAGCCATTGCGCCAAACAGTTTAAATAATATAAGCGTCTGTGTGTTTATTTTATAAGTGGGCTGTGGGACTACAGGGACTTGGCGGACCCGGAGAGAAACTCTCCAGCTACACAGAGCATTCTGGGTAAGGGGCAGTCACTTTGTCTAGTCCAAGGAGGCATTAAAGGACTGACATAAATTCTAATGTTTAATGGCCAAAGTTCAGGTTGATTAGATCATCTAATCTAATCAAAGGTCAACCTCAGGAACAACTGAGGTTAACCCTCTGCCCTCCACATGCGTAAGTATACACAGTCACTGGTGAGTCCAGATCCCAAGGGCTCATAGCAGTCATGTACAGCATTAAGAAACAAATGATACCATTGGAAAACTTGGTTATGTTAATTTTAAGGGAAAGATGCTAGATTCAATGGTAAGAAATATCCCTCAGAGTACCATTTGAGACTTGCCTTGGAAATCAGGAACATTGCCTGAGGAAAAGGAGGGCAGGAAGCAGGCAGGGATTCAAAAGTGAAGGAAGGTGGCTGATGTATGACTGAGCTGATAATGTAACATCATCAGTTATAGATATCCACAAGTTCAGTATTCAACATCCAGAGAACCCAGCCCTCACCCAAGAGGGAAAGTTTGTCCACCATGGGATCAACCTCCACACAGGAACAAAGGGCCATGTAACCACGAGGCTAAACTCACTGATTGGGTTTTAGCTCAGAACTTCCCACAGACCCTTACAGAAACAGGAAGGGAGCTACAGAGTACTAGACCCCTCTTTCCAGGTCACCAGGAACCAGAATTCACATTAAGACCTCCTGGCAGTGTTGCCTAGTCCTGGCTATTCATTGGACAGTGGGTAGACACGGTAATAGCCTCTTTTTTTTTTTGGTTTTTCGAGACAGAGTTTCTCTGTGTAGCTTTGCGCCTTTCCTGGAACTCACTTGGTAGTCCAGGCTGGCCTCGAACTCACAGAGATCCGCCTGGCTCTGCCTCCCGAGTGCTGGGATTAAAGGCGTGCGCCACCACCGCCCAGCAAGTAATAGCCTCTTGTACAGTCATAAAAGACCCTCTGCAGACTCTTGTGTGGACTGTGCTAATCCCTATACTGACAGGAAGCCTGGGTGAGTAAACCAAAGGCAGAAGCACAGTGAACCTCCGTGGGATCTCCAGCAGGCAGCAAATCTTCCTTGGTAAGGGCTTGGCCAGGATATATTCCAGGATGTTGCCAAGTACAGCAGAGAAGACACACAGAGACTCCTACAGGCTCTGTAGACGTAGACCATGCCAAGTTGCCCTTAAGGTAGAATCCAGAGGTCTCAGATTTGGTGTCCTGAAGTGCAAGGCTGTGCATCAGAGAAGCAGCAGTAGATACTACATGGGGTGTTCTCTTTCCTCCAGGGTAGATGCTATAACATCACACTCATCCCAGAAGGTCATGTGCAGCAAGAGTATTCAGGTCTGCCTTCCTGCTCATATTACTAGCAAGTACAGGTCCTGTGCCTGTCTGTGTACATACCAGGGTCAACAGAAAGGTACAATGAAAATAACCCTTGACAAGGGTCAGAAAGTCATTTGCTGACTGTGGACTATAAGCATGGATGGACTTTGATGTTGGATGCAGAATTAAAATCCATTTTTGATATTAAATTTTTATGCTATTGCATTTTGTTATTACTACAATCACTGTATGAGTCCATACTGGGAAACATCATGATTTCCCTGGCAGGAAGTGAAGTGAATGTTTTCAGGAGCCAGGATTGTGTGACAGAAGCAGCTTCCATCTCTGTCTCAGGATTTTTCCACCTCTGCACACAGAGTGTTTGGATACTATAATTCTATATGGTACTCTCCTGTTTGTGGCAGGTGCTGAGCCGCACAGCAGGCCTCCATCACAAGCATTCCAGATGTGGCAGATGGTCCCTTCCAGGTCCTGGCAATGAAAAACCTTCTTCAGACATCTCCATGTGTCCCCTAGAGGGCACACTTGTCCTGACTGAAATCTTTGTTCTGGCAGAAGGAACAGAAGTGGAGGACTTTTAGATAAAGTCACTGTAAGTACTTATCAACTGGTTGCAGAGACTGGGTCACAGAAGAGTGTAAGTAGCCCAAGAGGCTTAGATAGGGCAGCTTGGAAATAACTACGAGAAGAAAATGATTGCTGGTTTTTAGGAACCTTCCATGATGCTTCACTTCTTCACTGTGAGCTCTGGGAACAGTGAAAGGCCAAAACTGAGCTTGCACAATGTATGTGAAAAGCAGGTTTCTGGAACTCTGATTATGGTTAGTGATGGTAATGAAGACAGGATCTAGTAGAATCATGTGTATGGGTGAGCTCAAGCATGAGCCCTCAAAGACCAGACCAGAAGGGCATCACTCATGTCAAGTGGCACATCCACAAACTGAAGCTTTATACAAGAAAATCCCCAACAGTCCAAATTTTCCTAAGTCCAGATTGGCTCCTGCTTGGAGGGACTCAGATAGCCTGAGTGGACAATAAAGACATCTTTTCTGCTTTGTTCTGCAAGAGCAGCTACAGGAATCAGCTCCCTATGAGCCATGGGGTTCCCTTGCATGAGGCCCCTTGATCCTGCTCAAGACTTCCACAGAAACCACTCTTCTGCTCTGTGTGTCTGCAGCGTGCTGCCATGCTTTGCCCTTGCTAATGAAAGCCTGTGAGATCTCTAAACTAAATACACTGGCAACCTCTTTTCACAGCAGCATACATCATAGGCATGCTTTCCCAATCTCCACTCATTCTTAATTAAAAAAACAGATTTTAGCCGGGCGGTGGTGGCGCACGCCTTTAATCCCAGCACTCGGGAGGCAGAGCCAGGCGGATCTCTGTGAGTTCGAGGCCAGCCTGGTCTCCAAAGCGAGTTCCAGGAAAGGCGCAAAGCTACACAGAGAAACCCTGTCTCGAAAAACCAAAAAAAAAAAAAAAAAAAAAAAAAAACAGATTTTTATAAATATTATGTGATAAAACATTGGCTCTTCACTTTGGCAAACATTTTTTCTTATTACTTATGTATTTAGGAGAGCCCTCAGATGATGGTGGAAATAATCCAGTGAGTTCCACTACTCACACAGGTGGCTTTAATCAATGATGCTGGAATTGAGGGTAGCTTTCTATTCATGGATACATTTTACCAACATGTAGAGCTTATTCTCACCAAAACTACTCAGGTTTTAAGCAATGGTTGGGATTCTTTTCACTGTGTCTTAGTGTTGTGTGTTTTTTCCTTCAGAGGGATCAAGAGAACCCCATCATATGCTTTCTTCTCTCTCCTTTCCCACTTCTCTCTCCCTCCCTCCCTCCCTTCCCTCTCCCCCTCTCTCTTTGTGAATCATAATTGCCAAACACCATTTTGCTGGAGTTTTGCTGCATGGCTCTAGGGACTGTGAACACTCAGGGATCCCAAACTAGCAAGAAGGAAGGCAGGTTATATAGGCAGACCTTTGGCTCAGTGCACAGCTGGTGGGTGCTGTCTGCTCTCAGACACCTCTGAGTAAGTGCAATGTAACATGTATAGTGTCTACAGGGGGTCACTACGTCTTACCTTTGTTTTACCGTCAAAGCAGGTAAATCCCAGAGCAAAATCCACCGTGAAGCACAGCATTTCTCCTTGCCAGCTGCACAGATATGTTTTTGACTAGAAAAGAGTATCAATTTTGAGTAAGCACTTTACAATAGTTCTGGTTAACTATAGGAAGGTAGTTGGCACATTACTACTTTAGCCAAAGTATGCTGTTTTAAGTCTAAACACACAAATTATGTAGAATAAATTAGAAGGTTTGGGGGTTGTAGGGAACTGCACAGACACCAATAGGCAGGGAGATCTTCATTGTTTTCTGTGTTTAGACAGACAAGGATGTCTTTAAAGGCATCAACTAAACAAAACCAAATCATTAAAACATTTCAACAAGTATCTGTTCTCCAAGGTACCTCTAAAAATACTCACTGGAGTAGTCTAGAGCATATAAAGTACATATAGAAATAAATAGTCCTAAAATTGGAAAACGTCTTTTTGTCAACTTCAGCAATCAGTTTTCAGGTTAAGTTACCCCAGTAAACAGAAGATCTGAAGCCATCATTTGAGTGGGGAAAATCTGGGTGCTTTTCATGTGATAGGGATGAAGGTGTTGCTTAGGGATGACGATGAAGGGGGCAGGACTTGATTTTCTGGATCTCTGATGTGTGTGTGTTTGTGCACATACACAAACTCACATGTCCAACACAGGGAAGTCAGGAGGCGCTCATCTCACATTTCCATTGATACTTATCACTACACACAGGGTGCCCTGTACATTGTCTGCCCCGATACTGGTTCTGTCATCTATCTGTTTTTATACTATATTTTTTCCTAGTAACTAGACAAATGCCCTGAATATCATTGAAATGTATCAAAGATCCCCGCTGTGACTGTCACCACATCTTGGCTCCATTCTCTCCTTTACCTCTCATGGGAAGACAGAGAGCAGGCCCACAAAGTGAGGACCCTATCCAACATGACTTGACGACCCTTCCTTCTTCTCAGCCTTCAGTCAGCTTCCTAATGTTGGCAGGTATCCATAGCTGCCCACCAAAATCATGCACAAAGCAGATGCCCACTGCATACTATGCAAACTACTAGTGTTTTGATGCTGGTGGGAATTGGAAGCTCCAAGCTGTTCCTCTAGCTCACCTTTTCTAACTTGACCCAGACCATAAGACATGCTCACATTCTTTCTGCCAAGTCCATGACAATTTAGGCTTTCATAGTTTAGGACTTGCTATTTTTTCTAGAATTTAAATGTAGTGATTATAAACTATGAGAAAACATTTCTAGGAAATCATTATATTCTTGTAGCCCAAGTCTCTGACATCATGAAAGCAGTGGAACTGTGAACCCCAGTGGATAGTGCCTGATCTTTGGAGGGCAGGAGAGCATTGTTGCAGAATGTTACACATTCCCTCAAAGGACAGAGGAAAGAGGCAAAAAGTTTGTGCAGAGGCTCAGCCCTACAGAATCTCACAGCAGAGTCAGTCAGTGTCTGCCAAATACACAGTCTCTTCCCAAATCTTCAGAATCTGGTATGGTGTGTATATTTGTGTATTTGTATTTGTGTGTGTGTGTGTGTGTGTGTGTGTGTGTGTGTGTGTGTATGCATGTGTGTGTGTATGTGTGTGTGTGTGTGTGTGTGTGTATGTGTGTGTGTGTGTAATATCAGTATTCCCATTGTGTTATATATTTACTCCTTCTTTTCCTTAATATTTTGGGGAAAAAAAAAAACCTGTTTCCAGTTTGCGGAGAGGAGTCTGCCTCGTGGTCCATTCAGTGGGACAAAGGCATCAGAGGAGTGGTCATAAACATGACCACTTTGAAGGTACCCTTGTGGACTGCTTACATTTTTAAAATTAAATCAGCAATTTAAACCTTTTAATGCAACTGATGGGGGGCATTTTCATGACACATATTTGGAATTGCTCAAGATATGGAGGCTATAAGAATAACTTACTTAATGACTTTAGATCTACTGGTAAAGCATGGATAAAAGTTGCATACAGAATGCCAGCTGCTGGGTAGAGGAGTAAGATGTGTCTTTTCTTGAGGGACTCTATCTAAAACATGTTATACAACGACCTACAAAACAGTGCTTAGTGGTTGACCATGGCATTGGACACCTAACAGAGCTTTGTGAATAAATTACTGTGCTCAGGAGAGAAGTACTAAATGCCTCCCACAACAACTGCCCAGACTTTAGAACAAGTTTCCAGAGCGTTTTAGAACATATTATATGAAAATGTCAGAGAGGCCTTAATAATAGCTCAAAATACATGGCTGTGAAGGTCAGCTTCAGAACAAAAGCAAAGGCAACAAAAAAGAGCAACCAATGTTTAAGAAAAATATCAAAAACTTCAGGCACAGAATCACCTGGGGAGTTTAAAAAAACAACAAAAAACCTAAGACAAAACCAAACGAGAATACCGGTGATCATAAAACGCCTTCTCAACTTTGTTCTGGATAAAGAGCCTTGTTGCCTAGAGATGGCGCAGAATCAACCCCAGAACAATTGCTCATGTCCAAGGAGGAAATTATGTTAAAAGAGTGAACAGTCAGTTGGGTTTAGCGCTGCTTGTCTGTAATGCCAGTTTTCAGGAAGCTGAGGCAGAAAGACTGGTAGTATGGGCTAGCCTGGCCTACATAGTCAGACCCTGTGAAAACAATAAAAATGATGATGGTGATGGTGGTGGTGGTGGTGGTGATGATGGTGATGATGATGATGATAATGATAAAGACATCAAGCCAAGCAACTTGAAAAGGTCCTGGACGCCAACACAGAAAAGTGAGGAACAGGTCTGATCACATTCACTGTGGAGAATTGGTTTGTATTCATGAGGAATGTGGTCACAGTGTCCTTTCTGGTGCTCTCTTTGTGCCTCCTACATTCTCGTGTGTGTGTGTGTGTGTGTGTGTGTGTGTGTGTGTGTGTGTGTGTGTGTGTGTGTATACATCTGTCTGTCTAACTCCATTTCCATCCTTCCTTCCTTCTCCCCTTGATTATGGGTAACTGTTTTCAATTTTTTTCTAAATATTTAATAGAAATCTCCAGGTGAGGCATCTGGTCCAAATATCCCTTTCTTGGGGAAGACGATCTGCCTCACCTTGATGGAGTTCCCCTTGATTTTTGTCACCTACTCTATGTATGCAGAGCTCTGTCAAGGTCTTTATCTTTCCTGATTCTGGCAATTTATGTCCTTTCCTCTTTCTGTCTTGGGAGCCTTTTTGCAAGCTTGTCAAAGTTAATGATATTTACAGAGACCCAGCTTTGTGATTTGCCTTAATGCTTCTCTGACACTTTGGTGACTTAGCAATTGTTGTCTTCAAGTATTTCAGTATGCTCCCATCCATTATCTTTCAGTTATTGATTACTGTTTCCAATTTGGTTGGAGCACATACTTTGAATGGCTTCAGTTCTTACCAGTTTGTTGTGGTTGTTTCATAGTTGTGGTATGGTTTATTTTGGCAAATGCCCCACAACCCTTCAAGATAACCTCCAGTAAGCTACTGTTCAATGGGGTGCTCTATAAATGCCTTTTGTGCATTGCTGTTGGTTTGTTTCCCTTGGCTCCATCTGCTTTTACCTCATATATTTTGCAGTTCTGTGTCTGGTGAACACATGCATGTTGGCTAAATCTCCTTGGCCAGGGAGTTGGTTGCTCATCCTCCCACAATACCTCCTGTGATAACATTTTCTGCTTTGGAGTCCACTTAATTTGACAACAGCAACCCTTGCTTTCCCTTGACCTGAGCCACATGGTGTAGCTTTTTCTGTCTTTTCAATTCGAACTGTGTGGCGATATTTGAGGCAGCCTTTCTGCAGACATCCTATGGTTGAGTGGTACTTGCTGTCTGTAAGTCATTTCATCAGTGGCATACTCACACAGCTTCCAATTGATGGGATTTGTGGTGTCATTACCTTCTGTTTGCTTCCTTTCTGCTTAATGTCAGCCTTTAGTTTTTATTTGTCTGAAGGGTTTAGGGTTTTGTTGTGGCTGTGCTCACCCCAGAGACTTAAAGAAGCCTCACCTGCTTCCACATGGCTTCTCCTCACTGTTGCTCACTTGCTTTAAGCATTTTCTCTATGCACATTTGGACTCATCTTAGACAGTGGTATGGTTTTTGCTTTAACCATGAATGTGACAATCTCTATCGCCCTTCCCCTTTTCCAGACACTTCTGGGTTCCAGCTTTTGTCATTTACTTTATGTTTAGAGAAAGTCTCCATCTATTCCTTTTAGGTATGTCTGCCAAAGGTAATTTATCTTAATTCCCCTTAATTAGGAAATGGCTTGAAAGACATTTTTCATTCTTGAAAGGTATTTTCAATGGCTATGGGATTCTGTAAGATAATGTCTTCTTTCTGGCACTTAAATACTGGAACCCTTACTTCTGCCATCATTGTTCATAAGAAATTTCATGTAATCTGAATTATTTTGCTCTGTAATCTTCTATTACTCCTTTCTTATTGATTTCAAGGTATTTTTATTTGATTTTCCGAGCTTTAATAAACACGGAAAGTCTCAGTATGGGCTTCACAGGGTGTTTCTATTTTTAACCTACTGTCTTTTCAGATGCACAGGCTTATAGCTTTAAAAGTTTGAGCTGTATTTTCTTCGAGTATATTTGTCTTTCTTCTTGTCTCCTCTCGGGTCTCCAGTCACAGACACTACACTTCAATCTGTGTCTTGAGTCTACTGTTTCTCCAATCTGTGTTCTCTCTGTTACTCACAGAGACAATTTTTGTTAGCACAGACTTGGCCACAGCTCCTCCCTCTGCCCTTATTTTACCTCCTTGCCTGAGCTTTTAACTCATAATAGTTTCCCCATCTACATTTTCATTTTCTTTATTTCTATCCTCTGTTGTGTTGTATCTCTTTGTCTGTACTTATGATATTTCCATTCGTTAGAATATATTCATACTTGCTTTTTGAACCATACATTTTAAAACCACAGCTGCCCTCAAATCTTTCTCAAATAAGTTTAACATTTCTGAATTTCAATGTTGGCACCTGAGGACTGTCTGGCAGTCTCTGAGATTTTCCTGGTTCTTGGCATGACAGGTGGTTTTCTTTTACAATCTGGGGAGTTTTGTATTATGAGACTTCTGAT